CCACCGGATGCCCGTATGGGTATGGGCGAGTCCTTCAGAAGAGTATTAGTCATTTTTTGGAGAATAGTGCAATTACAGATACAGAAAGATGCCCCAATTCCATAAACTTCTCCTGGTTCTTTAGTGTGCCAAGTGTTTAAGCACCCATACACGGGATCTCGATTTAAAGTCTCATCCGAAAGACTGATTAGTAATTTCAGATGGCCAGCACGGGAATCGAACACACGATGTCGAGATTACAAGTCTTGCGCTCTAACAGATTGAGCTATGCGAGTTGTTGCCTTTTGGCACAGATATATATATATATACAACGGATAGGAAGCTCAGAAAATAGACGATAGTCAGATTCAGACCCACAATCCTTTGCGCGCTTCGGTGATCCCCGCTAGTCTCCGATTTTCGACCTCTCGTTAAACTTCGGCGATATCCGTGAATTATTGTTAACATTGCTGACTTGGAGAAATATTTTTGTGAAACAAATGTGTATTGTCCGTTTTAGAATGAATAACTTTTGCTTCTTATCAGTACTCTGAGAAGAAAATTTTTCGTCTTTTTTGCCGATGTACCTCCGGGAATTCAATATGGCGGTAGTTTGGCTATTTTTACTCAGGATGCATCAAATCTCGGAAAATCCCGCGACATATGATAACTTGCGTAAACACAATTCCGTCACAGTTTCTTCTCCATCTATATTTAGCTCCATGTTTTGGTAATTAGTACAGCTTTACTGATTTAATATTTCGTATGGAAGTCAAAATACTACTTTGTTTACATTTTGCTACTTTTAAGACGAATTTTTTCCCAACACCCCAGGTATAATATATTTTCCTTTTTTTCCCTACAATTAAGGGTTTTCGCCTTTTTAATTTTTTTTATTTTTTTCCTGGGGGTTTTAAAAGGGCAGGTTTTAACTGCATTAAAAAATTGGGGTTTCCCGGTTTCCCTGAATTAGCTTTTTTGGGCTTATCTTTTTTTGCCCTAGAATGAGGCGTTTTAAACGGGAACAAAATTGCGCCAAATTTTGGATTGAAAAAAGGGTCCATTTCTTTCCCCCTTTTTTGCTGACAGAAGAAATTTTTTTCAACCGGGATCGGGAGTTCTTTTATACCCGGGTGTAATAGAGGGACCTTTTTTTTACATTAGTTAATTAGTGAAATAAAACCCGCTAATGATGAATTCATATCATCTCTAGTCTGAGACGTCATTAAATTTTTCTTCTCAGAGTACTGATCGGATTTAATTATGTCTGATTCCCATGTGTTGAAAAAATCCAAGTTTGCCTTTAATGTATCTATTCGGTTATCTGAAGTTGATGATATTGGCCGATTCTTGTCCGTAAATATTTCTACAATTTCAGATGTCTGCTCTAGTAAGGAGACGGACGAAGATAAACTTTGGGGATCACTGAGAGTTGACTGATACCGTTTCATAAGATACAGCATGTCTTTGTCTAGCACATGAAGTGCGAGGTGATTCCGCATTTTAGAAGCGGGCGTTAGGTTAATATGTTCGTCTGTTAAACGACGATGGATGGAAAATCCATTTTGGAAATTGAATTGGAAGCATTCCATCCAATGTTCCCAAATTATCGGATGGTCATTTAATACCAAATATCTACCTCCGTGCTGGCTGTTTTCGGTACGGCTACTTTCTAAATTATTCCTTACTTTTTTAAGACAGTGCATAATGTCTTGTATAAAGCACATAGAATGCGTATAGTCAAATACATCAGGAAACATGAAGTTCTTCTCTCTTGGGTTAGCCATGAGCATGTTCATAAATGAGCGATTGGTGGATGCCCCATCTAACATGACATAGTCAACAGTAAAACCATGCTCATCCACCTTGTCAACACATTGCCAGAAGGTCGTGTACAGCTCGTGAGCTTTAGCAGTGCTTGAACCAAAATAAACCACTGGCCATCTGTGAAGGAGAAGTGGATGAAATTATAAAATATTCATACATGTTAAAGCTAAATGCGTCCCTGGACGAAAATAATGCAAACTATTTATAAACGTGATGGTTCATCGCAATTTAAATTTAATAAATGTATAAGAATAAGAACTTTTTCTCATCGAAGAAGTAATTTAAAAACTATTATAGTTATTCAACAAATATTATTTGATAAGGGAAAGTCATTATAAGATAAATGTTCAACACGAATTACAATTACTCCGTAGTTCAGTGGTAAGAGTCGCTTACTTATAATCAAGTGACCAGTATGGCGTGGGTTAGGTACCCATGAAATATTTTGGTAGTTTTGCCAACACGATTGGACCTGAACGCTGATTTGACTGTCGAGGAACATTGGCTAGGAAGCTGACAGACTACTGAAAATCACATAAATATAAGAAATTATTTACCTAAAGCCTGTGTATCCATGAAAGATGAATTGTAATGCATGGGTTGCCATTTCAACCTTTTTCTGTCCGTCTGTTATAACTTTTATAGAATTGTTTGTTCTGCCCATGTCAACCATGCCAACTATGTCCCATTTGTCGCCCTTTTTAGTGATTACCAAATCATCTTGCACCGTCATTTCGTCTATCAAAATTCCTCCACGGTGACCAAAAGAGGAGATATTTCTTCGACTTGCCTCAGCCTTCATCCAATCTAAATTACATTCATTAAAATCAGGTTTCTGTTTTACAATGTTTTTGTAGTACCTAAGTAATCTCTGTGATGGTAAAACCAACAAACCAGAACCTTTCAGATCGTTGTATGCTCGAGGAGATCTTAGGAACAGCCCCAGACATATTCTAATCACTCTAGGGTCCCATCTACGCCTATGAATTTCTAATTGACTGTCACAGTTTCTTAACTGTGATTCTAACAATAAACGGAACTGAGCAGCCTCACCGTCTTTTAAGATATTTTCTAAAATATGTTTCATGTCTGTATGTGATTCTTTATTTAGTTCCAACGATAGATTTACGTCACTTTCCATATCGGTGTCAGTTTTATTTGATTTCGAGTTAGTATTCAAACTAAGCGTGTTTGTAGTGTCTGAGAGTGGTATTCTAGCCCTCTTGGTTGACGGTTCATGTATATCTTCTATCTTATTTCCAGCAGATATGTTATTGCTCTCATCAGTATTAATCTCACTTATACGTCTGCTATACTGATTGAAAGAGTCTGTGCAAGTTTTACAAGTTCTAGAATTACCAGAAAATGGCAATAGCATCTTACAAGACTTCGACCTGGCGATTTCAAATGATGTCTGGTCGTGTATTTCAGAAAACGTTTCTTTAATAAATGTTTTCGGTAGATTCTGCTGGGATGTTATTCCATTACATACACGCACACTATGTATTGCATGTAGCAAACCGTCAACATTTTGTTGATTTTTTGGTAGGGGAAAACCTAACTTAAAAAATTGCCCATCTAAGCAAATTTCAGTATCTGCACTCTTTAATGAAAATTTACATGTCATAAACTTGTCATTTCTTTTAGTAATTAGAGGACATTCAGCTGTTAGTACGCTTGAATCGCTCTCCGGTAACACTTTCACAAATGGTGGAAAGATTATTTTGTCAGAAATGATTTTTCTTAAGCCAATATTTTCATATACAATAAATCTTTCTCCATTGTCACGTACTAATTTAGGCTCAACTTTGAATAGACGTGAAATAGTTTTTCCAATGACTTCTTTCGATGGTTGTGGGTTTAAAAACTTGCATCTTTCAAACAACTCATTTATGCTGATTCTTGACCCCTTGGACTCTTCAAAGTTAACACTTAACCTATTAAAAATGAAGGATATAAAATGATATAAGTTCATTTATAATATACCGTAGCTAATAAATAAATTAAAGATTTTTTTGCCGAGTAACGTTTTAAATATTTATTTTTATGATCACAGGTGAAATAACAAACGATCTTTCACGGAATTGAACGCATTTTCTGTTTCTTTTATGCTTTTATGGATAATTATAACGTCATGCTATTATCACTGTTATTTTCACGGCTGTTATTTCACAGTAAATGTTTACTAAAAAGCATAAAAGAAATAGAGGATATTTGTTTAGTTCAGTGTAAGATCGGAATATATTTGACCCAATGAGCACTAAACTAAACAAATTTTCTTTTTATTATATGCAAAAAAAACGTTTTCAAAAATTTAAAAATAAATGAATGAAAAAAAGGGGCCAAATAATAATACAAAAGTGATAAATTTTCGACGTCACGTCATTAAGGGTTTTTTAAACCCCCGAAAAGGGGCACGCTGGCAAATTTTACCGAAAAAACGTAAAGGGGCTTAAAATTTAAAACAGTGAAATTTTTCAAAATGGAATTTCAAATGTTTCAAACAAATGAAATTACCCGTTTTTTAATTTAAATTTATAATTTATAAAAAACCCCCAAAAACATGTAAAAAAATGCAATTTTAAAATTTAAAGAGAATTAAACCTAAAAATGGGAATTTAAAGTGCGCCCCAAAATTTTAAAAAAACGTGACATCTTTTCGACGTTACGGTCATAAAAGTTGGTTTTCCAAATAACTGTGCATTTCCCGGGGATTTTTCTGGGAAAAACATACGGGGCTTTAGAATCACATTATACCCAAAGCGTAGGAGTGTAATATAGCCATTTAATGAAAACGGCATTACACTAGTGTAATAACACTTTGACGTGACATTTGCGCTATATAGATATATCCGTAGCGTTAAAGCGCACTAAGATTATTAAAAATTACTTATTTCAACAGTTTACTGTTATTATTTTATATATTTGATAAAAAATAATATTATATTCGTGTAGATTCAATACTAAATTTATTGAACTCGTTGAATAAAACAATATTATGCTCGCCAGAGGATCGCAGAATATGATTTTATTCAACTCGTTATAAACTACACAAATTGATAATTTCACTGTTTGAAATAGTTAATTATCAGTTATATATTTCACTAAAAAATTAAAATTTTAAACCACCAAAAGCATGTAATAAAAATTATTCTATAATGTTCTTTGTTGTATTCATAATATCCTTCAAATTCATGTTTACTTGCAGAGATATAATACGTCAACTTTCTCAGACGAAAAAAGTTGCTGTTACAGCCACAACAGGAATGGCAAGCCTACAATTGGGCTTCCAGGCTACAACTCTTCACCACTGGGCCGGTATCGGAGATGGGCGTTACTCTTGTGATGATCTGAAGGACCTTCTGGATAACGATGACAAGTTTGTCTCTGCAAGATCCAGAATTGCATCAGCTCAATGCTTAATAATTGACGAGATTAGCATGCTTTCGCGGAGAACGTTTGAGATGTTGGAATTTGTTTGCCGGCACGTTAAACAGAATAATCTTTGTTTTGGTGGTTTACAGGTAATGTCTAAGATATTGTTAAAGAAAAGTTCTGAACGATAATGAAACCTAATGTACGATGTATTGTGGAATTACTCCAAATAGGCAAAGAAATATAATAACAGTAAACACGAGCACCGCTAGGCTGAGCATTATATGCCCGAGAATTAAAAATGTCCTTAATTCTTTCGGGCGTATAAATTAACCTGTAAGCATCTAAAAATATTAATCTGTTCTATGATTTTAAATTAAATTCGATCACAATTATAAAATCAATTAATCCAGTATGGGATTTATATTTTTTATTTATATCCAGCTCCAGGGCTCATTCAGAAAAAATATCGTTGTCATTACAGGTGATTGGATGTGGCGATTTTAAGCAGCTGCCACCCGTCCCAAACAAGTTCCTAAATGATGAAGGGGAGTACTGCTTCTCCAGCCCAATATTTGATATTGCTTTTCCTCACCATGTACATCTCACTAAGGTATGTAGCTTGTGCACGAAACCAACAAGTTGTATATTGTAATTAACCAACATAATCTGAATCTCGAAAAGTTTATATATACAATTATGTATGTTTGTACTTTACCAATATAACGAATGTGTCCCAGTGGTTTCCAAAAGGCAAGACATTACACAAATATGTTATATACAAGTTTATGACAGGTCACTACCAATACAAAAACAATTTTTATAAGGCGTATCGTGATAAATCGTTTTCAATATACAGGACCGAAATATCAATTGTCCGTATTGTCCATACATCTTGTCCCATAAATAACATATGGACAAGTTAAAAAAATGTTTCATAAAAACGGACAAGTAAGTCAGAAAGAGATTTTGCCGGCCCTGTCAATATGTCGCTGGAAAAACTCCATTTAAAATGAATTTCAATACCTTGTTGACGAAATGGTCAAAATAGTATGTAGTATTTTTTGCCTTGCAACCTCGGGATCGTGGGTTCGAATCCTACTACGGGTAACGACCATGCTTCCTCATATGACATCAGTACTGGTTGGTTCCAGGAAGCGGACTTGAGCGTGATTTAGATAATTTGTGAGAGCTTGCTTCACAATCGAGCTAAAATAAATAAGTTTTTTACTGGCCGTTTTTACAAACATGCATACCAAATTTGTTTTAACAGGTAGTAAGACAACATGAGGAAGACCTGGCCAAAGCTGTAGAAGAATTATGTGACGGCTCGCCTTCAAGTGCAACAATTGACCTGCTAAGGAATTTAAATAAAGCCACAGATACTGTTGACCAACAAAAAACAATGCTTTTCGGTACAAATTTTGACGCCCGGTACATGAATGTGCAAATGCTGGATGAATTACAGGGAGATAGCCAAGTTTTTAAAGCAGTCGACGAAGGTATATTTTAAACCTTTCAGTTTCATGAATAGATAGAATAGATATTTTTCCTACAATTCACTTTTTCTATTGCGATTTTTATGTTTGCATTGCACTTAAATAACAAAACGAGAACCAAAATTCGTAAAAAGTCAAGAGTAATGTAGACTTAAATTGCAGTAACTTTGTTATTAAAGGGACTCCACTGAGGTTTTTTTGACATGATTGGACTGAAAATATCTTTTCCAGATAAATGTACCATTTGATGTTGGTTTAGACCACAATTTTTTGCGCAAAATTTCAGATCATTTGCGCACTTCGTTTTACCAGAATAATTATTCAAATTGTAAGAAATGACCCAAAATGTAAAAGCGTTTAAATGCTTTTCAATCAAATTGGGTTAAGGAATGCCAAAAAATACGATTTTCAATTTATTTCAAAGTATATTTCTTAACTATCTTTGCATATATTTCTGTTTAAAGTGTCCCAGCTCAATTATGTAAGAAATTCAAATGTTATGTCTTTAGGCATTTAAACCTCAGTGGAGTCCCTTTAATGGACAGATTTGATTAATACTTGAACAAAAAAACAATTAAAGACAAAAACCCACCCTTTATGAAAATTTTTGTTTATGGGGAACCCTTGGGATTAATGTGACGAAATCGGGCCCCACTAAGTATTAAAAATTTTCCCCCCCCTTTTTTTTAAAGATGTTAAAATTAAAAAAAATGACCATCAAAAATTTTAAAAAAGGGTTTTTTAAATTACCCTTTGGGCATGGTTTTCCCCAAACATTTTAATTAAATTTTGTTTATACAGGAAAAAAAAATTATTGATTCGTTTTATCAGTCCCCAAAACGCTTAACTCAAGGAAAGGGGCCCCCTGTCAAATTTTTATCAAAAATTTTTGCCCGGTGGTTTTTTCAACGGGGGAGAGGAACCGTTCAAGACTGTCAGAAGGTAAACCACCGATTATCAACATAAATGGAAACCTGCATGAAATGAAAGCGGAACGATTTGAAATATACGATGCAAATCAGAAAAAAATATTAGCATCTCGGACACAAGTACCACTTATTTTAGCATTTGCGATGACTGTACATCGAGCCCAGGGACAAACAATCGAAAATTTAGAAGTCGATTGCTCTACTTTTTTTGCACCAGGGCAGCTCGGAGTGGCAATAGGCAGAGCCGTGAGTAAAAGTGGACTGTGCGTAAGAAATTTTAATAAAGATGCTGCATTTTTGAAGCACCCAACTTGTGTTTATGACTTCTATAAAAAAACGTTTAAGTCTATAGAAACCGATACAGGTTGTTGCTCTGGAAATTTAGATAATTTAGATGATATCATTGACTATCCTGTAGACATGGTGGAAGATAGTGTAAATACCACGGAAACGGAAGTGACAGAGGATGACGCAGTACAACTTCCTCGCTTAAAATGTCCCTTTAATGTAAACGAATTTGTTACTGAAAACTGTTCAAGTAAATTTGTACAACTTTTAACACCAGAGTTCGTTTCTAGTGAGAAGTTTAAATCTCACTTAGAATATCTTTATTTTAGAGTAAATGAATGCGTACAAGACGATACTAGCACAAACACTGATTGGATGCGGTCTTACAAAAGTTTGAACACTTTTTTGGTTACTGAGGAACATCTAAAAAGTATATGTTATTTATTCGATGTCAAGCCTATTTCTAAAATTCAGAACAAAATGTCATCTAAACTTTCAATGTGGATAATGGACAAGCTGATAGAAGTAAAAGTTTCAGCAACACTCTCAAAACCAATGAAAACATCAGATCTATCTACTTCTGTTCTAGAAACCTCAGTCTCTCAATCTAGCACATCGGATACATCAACGTCTATGTCTAAAACATCATCTTCAAACGATCAACACTTAACAGAAGCTGGATTGTCAAAACTACGTTACATTGCTGGGGTTTGTGTACACAAAATAAGACACAGGTTAAAGGAAACTGTTGACAGAAATCTCGGTAAGCAAAGTAAAAAAAGTAAACTTGCAACAAGATTAAGCTATAAAAAGAGGAAAATGCTGGAACTGTTTTCTGTGTCCGAAGATCAAGTTGATCCAAATGACCCGACTATGTTAGAAATAGAATACAAACAAAATAAAACTCGAGGTCTTACAATTGTAAATGATACAGTGTTTGATTTTTTTATCAAACTTCACAATGCCTTACAAGCTTTAATGTCTGTAGAAACTATGCATAAAAACTTAGAAGACATTCATAATATTTGCAGGAACTCTATAGATAACAATACTGACCTTCTGTCTTGTTGGATAAGTTTATTCTGTTTGGAATATGAAGAGAATTTCGAAGACGAAATTGTACTTGATTTAATGACGGACTTATATAAAGACGTCACTGAACACTTCCTACCGCTCTCTTTTGTTGATAGTTTGAAAAAATTCAAAGCTTCCATACCAAGGAAAAAACGACAGGCTCTACGAACAAAAATTCAAGCTTTGGGAGAGAGAAGTGGTAAAAAAAGACAAGCAACTGGTCAATCTTGTGTAAAAAATAAGTCAATGAGAAAGAAGACAAATAGTAAAAAAGATAAACAAGTGCAGGACTCCGATCTGTTGACAGAAGATGAGCCAGTGTATGTTTGCCCTGTGTGTGACAATATTTGTGAGGAGGAACCTTTAGATCAAGAGGGCGAGAGTATAGGGTGCGATAAGTGTAACTTATGGTTCCACTACGGATGTGTAAACTTGACTGGAAATGAACAGTTTTTAAAAGAAAGTAACAGTAACTGGTATTGCCAACCGTGTTCTCAAATGGGGAGGAGTAAGGGGAAAGGGAAGGGGAAAGGGAAATCGTCAAGAAAATAATTAAATAAAAAGAATTGAAATAATTGTAAAATGTTTTCCTTGCTTGCTGACATGATAAAAATGTTCTAGTAAACTTGGTAGTGTCATATATCACCATATATTTTGTTATATTAACTTCAATATATCAAATATCCATATAACATGTTAAAAAAATCCAAGTAAGTATACAACAAGTTCATTCCAGTCCAATATGCCAATACATTGTTCATCAATATTTTGCCGGAATGATTATACATTGAGTATGCATGTTCAAACTTCATCGATACAGTCATGCTAGTATTGCATTGCAATCTCTATAGTTGGCATGATGCCAGGACCTAAATTTTAACTTGTATGTATATACAAGTATGTATCAATATATCGGAAAACTCTTAACATTTTCATTTCCATGAAAATATTGCTGCCCAAAACATTGACGCAAATGTCTGCAAAAGCTTTAATATATATAAACTAGCATAAAATAACCCATGCAAAACAAGTCTTGGACGCACATTTTTAAAAAAATAAAAATATTGTTTGTACGAATACGAACACATTATTTATTTTTGGATTATGCATGCATATGATTCGAGAAAGACTTTAAACACACAACTAACCCCCATGCGATATATACATGTATATACGCACACGCAAATGCACTCTTCCGTAAATAATGTCTCTATGATGTTTTATTTTCGTTTCATCAAATAATTACTGGAATGCTATTTTGAAATAAGTGCTTGCAACAAAGCATCTTTTTAAACAAGGTAGCTGTAGGCCCTTCTATGAATCAGTTCAATATTCAATTCAGTTCAATTCCGCTCAATTTATTTTATAGTTCGTGTATAATTAATCGCTTTTATATCAGTTACATATACTTTTTACATTTAACGTTGTACCAATAAATCATAAAACAAAAGGGTTTACCATATCGCAACACTTATTTGGCTAGCCATGATTTTTTTTTCAAACTGTCACTTTTGAAAAGCGCGCTGTTTTCATCCTAATATGATTCAAGAGTGATGTCCCCTTGGGATTTTCCCAAAACTTTAATATTTGAAAACAATTTCTTTTTACCGATAAAAAATCCGTCTATGTTTGATATAGTTCTGTAAAAATTCAATAAATTAAGTAAAGCATAAATTTATTTTTTATTCTTCAAAAAAATAAAGGCACATGAAAATATTATTCAGTGCGGTACCGAAGTGGCAATGGAACCGACGATTGGAGAAGAGCAGTGATAAATTCATTTAGTTGGCGTAAAAGTTGGATAGTTGATAAGAGTAAGCAGTGTTTCTGATAGATTTTAATGTGTTTTATTGATTTGGTGTGCTCGGAAGTAAAACCCGGGCGTGTTTACGAATATTCCTTGTAAATGTAGCGGTGGGTGGGGAACTTTTTGTTGCCTTCCTTGTGTTTTTTATAGTATATATAGGGTATTTTTTTTAAATCGTTATTTTTCTGTTTTGGATAGAATTTCGGGGTCCTGTGATACAATCTATCAAATATTTCTTCGATGAAAAAAGACTTTATATTCACCAGAAATTTATACATTGAAGGTAAATAATATTCATCTTCATTCTGCCGCCAAAATATATTATTAGAATGTAACTTAATTTGTATAATCATTTGTTTTTGTAGTACAATACATCATACGAAATACGAGTATATGATGTTAAAATTTGTCCGGAAATGTTCCAAAGCATTTTTTGATAACATCCAAATATATAGTTTGTTATGAAAAGTCGCCATCGTTATATTTTGTATTAATTCAGCAATACATTTTTATCTACATTTTTACTATTATTATTTCTAAAATTATGTCTTTCGGATGCTTCTTGTTTCGTGTCTTTATACGCCATAATTCTGTTCTTATAGTGAAATTATATGTAAACGAGTCCTATTTGAGAATTTAAACGATATCGTCAGTTCGAGACAACTCAACACAAGATACGTTCTATATATGCCCCATTTAATCAAAACTTATACCAAATCAATTAAATTTACTACTCAGTAATGTAATAAGGTTTTATTCACGATAACGTTATTCCAATTTGCAATTGCACAATAAATCATATTGATCTTTGCTAGAGTTTATTTAAGCACATCAAACCTTATTATAAATCAGATTTTCTGACATCGATAGGACCAGACTGTCATATACGGTGTTTCGTTGTGGCCATCGATGTTCTACTTTTTCGACATATTTTTAAAGGCCATAATACAATGAGATGAAATGACGTGAAGAACGAGATTGATATACACCGCAATTTCGCGATTCTACATCAGATTCTAGCGGTAATATAAACTTGAGGGTAAAATTTCCTATTATCATTTCGTAACCTGGTTTTGCTTTTGCAGGTTGCTTTCAAACGCGTACCTATTGTATCATTGTCAAAAACCTGAGATGACCGAACTATTCTTTGGTTACGTTCATTTTTACTTATATGACATTAGTTTTTGTAAGTTCTATGAAGCGGACATGATAACGGTTCAAATACGCATCAAGCGTTCATAACATCCGAGATAAAATAGATATGTCCAAATTAAGTATATGTCCAAACTAAGTATGGGTTAAATCAGAAATGGATATTCAAGAGATTAATTTACAAGTACATTTTCACATTTATTCTGGAAAGTTGGAGTGAGCGAATGGTCTTAACTTTGAACAAATTCAAGTTATTGGCTTAGACCTAAATCAAATGAATTATTAATCTCGAAAGTTTATTTCCAGTCCCGTCATATAAAAGTTCCTTTGACAGGAAATGGGGGTACTTCTTCTGTATTACAACAACTTTGTTTTTGCTTGTTAATTTGTTAATATCGTAAAAGTATTTGTAATAAACATTAATATGTACTTGGTAGATCTTGAAGTACCTGATATAACTTTTATTAAATAAAAAACCAAAAAATATTAAATCATAATGGATAACGAAATTTCGTCAACGATCGTAGATAATTATGTTTTCAGATAAATTGAGATCTTAAGGATAGCTCAGTGTGATTTCCAGAGGGGATAAGAAGGAAATTTATGCGATATTTAGCCGGATACAATTGATTTAATGTTTTCTTGACCGGCGCTCCTTTTTTGTTTGGAATGTACAAAATACATAGACCAGACTTAATGGCGAGGACGATGCGAAAGAGATGTTATTTCCTGCGTATTAATGCTTTTGTAAAGATGTAAGTAATATTGGCAATAAAGGTCTAGAAATTAGTCTAAAAAGAAACGACATATGTATTTGGTTATCCCTTGAATGGATACATTTGCGTACAAAATACATCAACACATAGGACTTACAAAGTCATAGAAAAATATAAAATTGACTGTACACTCACCACATATACATGGATAGGCACAACCCTATAATTTTAATAGAGATGCCATGGGATCTTGAACTATTTTAGAAACTTCTGTTGCTGTTTTATAACTTTGATCTATTATCATTTACTTATATGTTTTGTTAGAGAAAGAAGTCCTAGTTTTCTATATTCTTATCTATTATTATTTAAATTTGTAAGGCACTCCATTATCACCCATCAATTAAATTCTCTAAGTATGTAAATATAGACTCGAATTAAGCTACATTTTACTTTACGAACACTTATTGTTACGAAACCCTATAAAACACTCCATGAACCAATTTGCAACAAGATGTGTATTTTCGATTTTTTTTTGCAAAATCGTAAACATAACATGTCTGCACTAAGTTTGTTAATCATCGATGAAAATATACTTTTATCAATGAAGTGTTTCGGTTTAAATGATTAAATGTATTGCAATTTTATTACATTGTTAATAAATACACTCTTTGAAAACTTAGTTTAAATTTCTTTATACAGACAAACAGCATAAAACTCGTCTTTATTTGATTATAATGGTATATTTTATTTCAAAAGAGGCCAGTAACTTGATAAACTAAGCAATTAAAACTTTAGGGGGTTTGTTTTCCTTGTCAGTAAAAAATATGTGATCGTTGATTAATTGCGTAAATAACTACTTTATGAACTCATTAGGATTTTTTTGTATGATGTTTCAACTGCATGTAACTTATCGGAATTTTTTATTAAAATATGTGAACAAGAGAACTGCAGTCCTATTACTGTTTGCACAACGCTCGTATTCAACAATTAAATTCATTCAATTTCGATCTCTACAAAAATCGTTTTTATATCCATTATTGAAAAAATGTAAATAACAAGGTCCTTCCCACCTGTTACCTATGAATCTAGAAATGTGACTTAAAAGAAATGCGTTTTTCACATATCGAATAGCCTGTGATTCTGATCTTTTAGACATTAAATTCTGTATGATTTATTTTCCTATCAGTCTTTTCCCATTTCTTATACCTCCGGGTAACATTTAGAATAGAACTTACAAGAGTATCGTAAAAAACACAAAATTGTGTTTTCTATACTTTTCCCTCTGTATGTTCATTGTTTTAAATACTAATTTGATATTCATGGAATACGTTTTGACAGAATGAAATAATGCTGCGCTGATGTAAAAGATGGCTGTGGGAAGATGCGTGTCATTTATTAAAATCGCTATCAAACAACATCACTAATTATCATAATATTGAATGTTTAGTTTATGCTTACCAGTATATGGATAATGATCTTTGGATGAAGATGTAATTGTAAATTAATCTTTTGAATATACATGTCTGATTTAACCCTTACTTTATTTGGACATATACATAATTTGGACATATCTTTTTTATCTCGGATGTTATGAACGCTTGATGCGTATTTGAACCGTTATCAAGTCCGCGTCATAAAATTTTAGTCTGATTCATAATCGATAATACGACCGTTTTAATAACTTATTCAGATGGTTGCTTGTGCGATACGCGACGTCGCGTGTAAAATTAACATAACAATAACTAGATGCGTAATTATTTTGGTTTCAGTAACAATATTTTATCATATTTTACTGAAAATATTTAATAAAATGATTGCATATTGAAATCAAGATATAAGATAAATATGGGAGATAGTTTGTGAATGAGTACTTTCTGTAAGGTCAAAGTTAAAAAAAATATAGTTGAAAATGATTACCCACATATTTGTACTTTTAAATAATAGATTTAAAAAAA